CACCCCCCTTCTCCTTGCGCAGGCCATGGTGAACCCCGGCAGCAGCTCGCAGCCTCCCCCGGTCACCGCGGGCTCCCTCTCGTGGAAGAGATGCGCAGGCTGCGGGGGGAAGATCGCGGACCGCTTCTTGCTCTACGCCATGGACAGCTACTGGCACAGCCGGTGCCTGAAGTGCTCCTGCTGCCAGGCGCAGCTGGGTGACATCGGCACGTCCTGCTACACCAAGAGTGGCATGATCCTGTGCAGAAACGACTACATCAGGTGAGGGCAAGCGGCCCGGGGCAGGGTGCAGGATCGCCCCCTTGGTGCCAGGGTGCGGCCTGGTGTCCCTCCCTGAGCCAGGCCTGGGCCAGAGTCCGTCCAGGCCCCTGTGACTTTGAAGTGGTCGGCAGCAGAAAACAAGCCCCAACTAAAAATAAACAGCAATCAGGGAGGCTGAATGCATCTGCTTTGTTGCAGTGCTGGAGGAGAAGTGTGCGCCTCTGAGATGGTAAAAGAGGGTAGGCTTAACGAAGGCTGTGCTGGAGGTGCTAAATAATGAAATGCCTGCCTTTAGTATCTGATTAATTATGATATTTACATAAGCACCTTTAAACTCCTTTGAGTGGAAACAGAATGACTCATTCTCTGTTCCCCTTGTAAAGGAGCTGATTAACCGGCGTTGGAGGGCCAGCCATTCTACTTGTAGCCAAAAACCCTGGTCATGTTTGTCTTCACATTGTTAGGGGGGGCTTTGAACTCGGCAGTGCTTCAGCTTCCAGTACACAGAGCTGGGAGACTCCAAGGAGGAAGAGAGACTGGGTTTTTTTGTTTTGTTTTGTTTTTTGCTTAAGCAGTTCATTGAAATGCCTCAGATTAGATGCAAGACTAAGTAGGGTTTAGTTCCCCTATTGAGGTGTACAGTAAGCCAAGGCGGGAGTATCGCTTCCAACAAGCTTTGGTCCCAATTAATAGAAGGGATTCAGGAGGTCAGATGCCTGTAGGATCTTTTCAGGTGAGCTTAGGCTCTTTCAACTCATTAATTTAAAAGGAGGCAGTTTGAAGGATTACATATTTAATTTGAGTAAATGGCTTGATAGGCTGATGCATGTGAATGCTTCAAGGAAGTATTCTATTTCGACATCCAGCAATTAAAAAACAAAAACCAAACCCAGAAATCCTTATCTTGCTGGCTAGAAAGTATGCATAGTTGAGACAGGTTGTGTTTTTCTCTGAAAGGCTCTTGACTCTCTTTCATTTGTGGCAAGCAGCAAGAGTTACTCCAGGTTTTTTTGGCGGATGGCTGCAAAGTTCTACTTTCTCCCTCCATAAATCACTTGTTTGTCCATCTTGCAAGTTGGTTTCTGTTGAAAAGCTTGTCTTGTACTGGAGATTGCGAAAGATCACTGCTGCCCTGAATTTGTAGAACACTTATCTTGGAGACATCATTAGTTTAAAATGGAGTAAAAGGACTTTTAGTTATTCTGATAATGCAACCTCTGTCCTGCTATGCGCAGGCATGTTCAATCAGCTAAATAGAAGAAATGCCGCTCCAGAGACATTGCAGGGGATTGCAACATTTAATTTCACTAAGTGATTTTAGAAGTAAATGTTAGAAAATCAGCAACATGGAGGCTTATAATGACATTTCCTGGTCCCCATCCCAAGCCCGACATAAGCGGCGTAGAATTCTAATTAAATAGAGCAGAACGGGGTTAAGGGGAAGAGGTTTATTTGAAGTGGAAAAATTTGACACTACTGTTCAGATGCAGTGACTGGCGCAGATTCTGCACTCGGCCAGGCCATCAAACAAACTTTCCTTTCTGATCACTGCTAATTAAAAGAGAGGATGAGCCCACCGGATCCCCAAGGCAAGTTCAAGCAGGCTTATCCGGTTTTGTGTTGCCAAAAATTAATACTCATGTCTTCGCGTGTAGGCGATCATGAACAGGCTGTTTATCAGATGAGGGCTTTGAACTGGCCTTCTTGTGCCATCGCTGACTCCTCTCTGGATCCGGCTCATTTGACTTGCAAACAAACCCAGCCCACACCTCTGGAGCAGGCCCAGAGCCTGCCAGTCGCTGCCGGGACGGCCTGGCCTGGGGCGGGTCCTGCTCCACCTGGCCCCGGCGTGGGCCTGCGCTCAGCCGCGGGCACGGCTGCACGGGCCCTGGGTGCCTGCCCGGGGGCGGCGGGAGGAGTCCCCTGCTGCAGGCCGGTTCCCGCG